TTTGCTTCATCATATATCATAATCTTTCGCTCCTATCTTTTACTTTGCATATGCTTTCCTTTGCTTTCCATTGTTTTATCTGTACAGTATATCAATGCAGACAGTACGGAGAGAATCGCAAATTTTAGTTGTGTCACCTTGGTATTTCTCCATTTATTCCTTCAACGTGCTCCATAGCGTTCAAAAGAATCGGCGTAGGTGCTTATATAAGCGACTGCTTGATTACAACCAGTGCGTTGACCGGCAATTCCCGACACATCTCGCAACCTCTGAGGCTCTGACTCATTCAACTTACTTCCGTGGCAATATCGTTCGGTGCTTTGAGTACTAGTAACATCGAATAAATCCTCCGACTGCAAAGTGACACGGGGACCGTATGTTCGTCAAGATGGCAAATGGTGCGTCCTTGGTCCTGTCTTTTAGTTAAAATCTGATTAGGACCCGTAGGTTCAACAGAATGTGTATATCTATCTGAATACGATAACCCAGCCGGTTCCCTCGCTCAGTAGCAACCATATACTCTTCCTAGTCAAATCGTCTATCTGTCACCTCGTCGTGTCTCTATGAGAGAGCCGATACACACCTTCCAAGGCCTTTTCGTCAAATCCTTAGTTTCACCGTGCATTTTGGTGTAATCCATTCTCCGATCTTGCTAGGACCGGCAAAGGTGAAGGTCTGCCTGTGATGTGTCGAGCGTGATCTATTTGCAACGTACACCTCCTTGGCATGTCTTGGAGCATCCGTGGTCGCAATTCTCTTCAGTCCAGCCTTTTCAGAGGGGATGTGATTACCATGCTATCGAAGCGGCTGTTATGAGAGCGATGAGGCCAGCAGAAAGCTTGCGAGTGTAGATTTTGTGCCTACCGTATTTGTGGAATGGTGGTGGGGAGATCATAGAAACTGGTTGTGGTGCGTATCTGGTCTTTTTTACCTACGAATTTCACTCATGTATTTGTCAGGGCTCGGTCCTCGGATGCTTTCATTGCACGGTTGGAGGCAGTTGTGCATGTATTCAACAACGGAGAACTTTTAAGGCCTTAACGATTATCTTATCTCAAAAATGTATTGTCTCTTGCAACACGGGTTGAAGATGATTTACCTTTATGTCCCCTTATCGTGCACCTCAACCTGCTCGCTCACCTGCTCTATTGGCTGGACGAACGTCGCTTCCTCGCTAATATTCACTCAAGCTTCTGCGTCGACATGCGAAGATGCTATTCAAAACAGCTTTCGCCAATCACACCTTCCAAGATTCTGACCGATAACTTGAAGGGCCGGCGCACCCGAAACCAGTGGTTCAGGCATTGGGCAGGACATTATATGCGAATAGAACTGCTATAGCAAGACTTGGGCACTGATGCAAGTGGCAAGGGTTGGGTCTCTGGCGAGGGTGCAACGAGGTTGAACGTTCTTCTGGGTAAGGTACTCCTCATTTGGACTGCTCGTTTCTGCTATGCGTGCTCAGATTCGCAATTTCTCAACTGTTCCCGTCAAGTTCCCATCACACCAACTGTGCACGCTCAATGGACCCTTCCTTATACTTTGTAGAGCCATTATGGTCCATGACTATACAATGATGCGGCACGTAAGGACTTATACTTAAGGCGACTCGAAGTTTGAATTGACAGGCAGACATTGCAGGACGCACTGCTCGATATACGCTGTTGAAGGCCCAAGGAACATGTATATACATATGGGACCCAACTAAGGCACATCAGCATATCTCCCGTCCAAATGCCCTGCGTAAAGGTCATTGCGTGGTACTTCTGTGCAGAACAGTGACCGGTTCACTAATCTGGGATTTGAAGCTTGGAATTCTGAGATGTCTGTACTTCTTATCATCACTATTTCCAGGAAAAGCTGACATACAGGATATAATTTCGCAGTCACAAAGCACGGACAAATGAAATCAATCAGAATATTCGATTGACTATCGGCCTATCAATCATCCATTGTCTTCTCCCTACGCATTATCGGCCTCTCCCATATAATGAAACACTTCGCAAGGGATCCATTACGGCTGCATTGATCCTCACCTCATTTTGGTTGCGAGAACACCCTCAACCTCACCGAGTGCACAGGGACAGACCTTACTCAATTAGGGTCTCCAACTCGTTTCTAACACATTTTCAGCGTCCACGACTCAACTTGATGGGCTCGACCTTTACGTCTCGTTACTCTGAATGGAGATGATTGGATCAATCCTGTCCTGATTTCAAGCTAGACAACCGGCGCTCGTTGTCTTTCTTGCTTCTTTGCACATGTTAGAATTATGGGGCCAGCCTCAAACGAAGTGAGTGACAAAATGGTCTACATCTATGGCAAACACGATATGGGGGCTAACTATGAAATATTCAGCTTTGTGTACTAGTGACTACGGAATACCCGCAATAAGTTAGCATGTAAGTAGCGTGCGAGAACCAACAGCAACTAAATGTCTTCACCATGTGAAGCTCGAATATTTCACAGCACCGGTATAATGTGACGTTAGACCTCTTTCTTACCGGAGACTCTTGCTCACCTTATCATACAGAACGGCATTACGCCTACCTCGCCCTTGAATCCTGCGTCCCTGACACCTGTCACTGGCAAGACGAATCGGCGCGCGTCTTGGTCAAGTCTTGGTTACATGGGCTGCAGACCTCTTGCGCGTTATATGACGAGGCCTTGCACCACAGTCAATATCACTATCGGTGCTGTCATCCAGTTCATTGAGGGTGTCGAACTTCGTCGTCACTGAACGATCGAGATTGGAAAGGCGGAGAGAGCCAGGTCCGACTAAAGCCGATGAATGGATGATTCTCCCCTTCTGACGTCGATGTTACCCTCTTGACTCCTGCAAGGATGCGTTCTTTTCGCCAGATTACGTGCTTTGGGAAGAAACACTGCCCAGTTACCGTAATTGGTGCACACATCCCAGAATCCAAGAGTTCCCGGAGGACATGCAGAGTCATTTCTCATCAAGCAGCGTTGACAATGCTCCGCCGCTCTGGAAGCTGCTTGTTCAGAACATTGAAAGAGATTTCCAGATGAGATGCCAGTGAGTTGACAGCTTGACCCACTGGGCATTGGAAAATCACTGCTGTAAGCGCGCTTGTGGACAGCGCTGATCTGCTTCTTTAGACCCACTTGACTTGAATTTTAAAAGAAAGACTGCCTTGCTCTCATGTCCCCTCTATCATCTTGGGACATCCCCGCCGATGTCTTTTATGAAATCCTGCTCAAATACGGCATGCAAAATATTTCTTTTCTTTGGCTAAACTACAGGCCAGTGTGTCGCAATTTCAAGGACGCAGTTAAGCGCGTCTTCGCCACCAAGGATCTAAGAAGGACCTGGCTTCACATCGACACTGGTAGGCTGATACTTACAGGGCATGTCACACCCGTTCTTGACTGATTATTTTCTCCAAGGAGAACTTGAAACAGACATAGAATTGCAGTTTTATGCTCTCGACCCTACTGACTCCACTCATGCGGTATTCGAATCCTACAACTATGAAGATTATTTAGAACGGACGCTGAGAAATGGACCTTGCCTCCAATTCCCGAACGTGATCATTCAAATCCGGCACGACGCCAATGATACGATGCTACCTAATTTTCGATGTCACCTCGATCCAAACAAGTTCGAAGTCAGCTTTGACTGGAAGGGCATGTACAGCCATTTTTTCCGAGAGCAGAAGGAGGCTCAAACAAGGTTCGATGAATGCGTACACATCTTTTCCGCCGTTTTTTTTTGCAACCAACAAGTGAATTTATGACATTTTTAGTACCGAAGCATCGCAGAGCGTCACATGTCCACCGCATCTGAGGCAGAGCGGGTTGTTATGATGGAACTACTGCACGGCTTCCGCCGCATGGCTTCTGCCTTAGATCACATCAGAATCGTCCGTATTGTCCGCTCCGAGAGGATTAGGCGAAACGCACGAGTGTAGGGTGGTGTCTGGGAATGACCCTGAGGGCTTCGATAAACTTAACAACAAAAAGTGCTTGATCTTGGAATGCCTTTTGAATGTTGAGAGGGTGGACGACGAGGACAGCAAAGACGAAGCTAGCTCGGAAGACGACGAAGATGACTTTGAGTCTGACGAGCGCAGTGAGGAGGACTCGGACGAGGACATGGATGATGAGGCCTTAGAGGAAGATAGCGACAGCTTTGACTCCGAAGATTAGTGTTCGAATAAGGGCGCTACTGCTATATGCTACGTATGCCAGTATTATGATTTCAAAGTGATATTCTAATTCTCTGGTAGAAGGGAGTTGGATCATGTTGAGATCGGGATTCCATAATGTGAAGCGGAGATCATCACTTCCAAATGGGCCAGCGACTATCAACAGATGTTGGTATTTGGGATAGACAGTATAACTGTATCCGACTGGAAAAGGTTTGCAAGAATAAGATCTGTTCTGAATTTCGACTTCAAGGCTGCAAAGCCGACGATAATATCGCGGCAATAGTTAACAGGGAGACGTCCATACTTTAAAGATTCCAAGCCGTCGTCAACCCGGCATGTCCCTGACTTGAATTGAATTCTCCATTTCATGCTCGCTCTCTTGCGTTTTCTCATCACGAAGGTGCTGTGTATTCCCTCACAGTAGTACAACGTCGTGGCGACTTTGTTGGGGATGGATAAGTAGGGGTTCCCGTCTTCGAAAGTCTTATCGAGCAAATATGAGAAATATGTTCTGTGTCAAGAAGCTATGCGAAGGATGAGAGTCAGATTTAATTTGGAGGTTTGACAGGTCCCAGGCATCAATGGAAATTTTATACATTTCTTATATCGAACGAGGGTATTCTTAGTAACATGCACTGTCTACAAGAATTTTTTTAACGTACAATTGAAATCTGAGAAACTCGCCTTCTGTAAAAGCGGCGAGCAGGATGACTATACAATGCATGGGCTGTAATACTACATGTGCACACTGCAACCCTACACTAAATGACAAAAAGTTCAGAGGTGAAACCCTATCAGCAAAATACTCTATATAAGATCATATAGCGACACCAGCAGGATTTAAACCTGTGCACTCAGAGAGTAACAGATGTATCTCAATACTAGGATTCTAAAGCCTTGACCACTTGGCTAATGTTTCCATTTGCCTAGCTGCTTTCACCCAAAAGTGATAGCGTAGCCACGTGGGTGAAACGCTGGCTCAGGGCTGGTAAACGAGCCTAGTGAATTCCAAGAGCTATGAGGTATCGCCCTAGTCCACTTAAGTCCAATGCCGGTTCGGAGGGAGTAGCAACGAGAGAATTTTAAATGTATTGCCATACCTACATCTTTATACTAATGTACAAGATATTTTGGAGCCATAATAAAGTACAGATAATTAGAGGATAACTTGAGAAATGAATAGAATGAACCATAGGTACAGTATTCTGAGTCAAGGCTAAGTCATATAAGTACAAAACAAAGTAGATACAAGTCATAATGAAAACAGTGGAGTCAACGGAAACAGATAAAGATGAGCCAAGGAGATGGGAACTTGAAGAGGGCATAGGCTTTAGGACAAAATAGAGACAAACTGAGGTGTAGGATACAGCAGCTTCGAATAGAAAGCCCAATCAAATCCTAGTTGTGAGATGAAAAACTAACCTTCTTTTCCAGCGTAGACAGTATAAAATGTTTGCACATAATGCTTTTTTCTTTCGTTACAAACAAACACCCACCATTGATCCCAACTTCTATTCTGTGATGCTCCCAAATCAGTGTGCACCCTCTGGCCCTCAGGGGCACTACCCTCCTCACCACTGCCACATGACACTAACACATGCTTTCGTCGGACCGGCCACTGGAGTCCCAGTCGGTCCTCAGTAGGGTCGAGGGGAAAACCTAGGTTATGTTAGTACAACGATAACTCAGTCAGACACACGTTGATATGGTGAATGACTGAATTAATATAAGCTACCTGTTAGTACAACAATAACTGTATGATAAAGTAAGTAAGAAATGGTATCTGGGTAGGTAAGTTAAGGATATGCACCTCAGTCAGACACATGTTGATATGGTGAACAACTGAGGTGCGTTTGAAGTGATCGGCTGTGGTTAACGGCTTGAGTTAGGAGAACTGGGATCTAAATATAGGTAATAAGTCAACTAAATCAATAAATGGCGGTATAGGCTGAATCCTTGACACTCCCCCTGAAGCCTATACCTCATAACCTAAACCCTGGTCATCCCCATACGTCTTAATAGAGTAAGCGCGTGAGGCTTTGGAATGATCTTCATGAAGATATCAGCTAGATTGTCCTCCGAGGGAATATATTGGATGTTGAGCTCCCGAAGCTGAACTGCATCATGAATCCAATGATAATCCATTGCAAAGTGCTTCAATTTCCTGTGGCCCTTCGTGCTTTGAGTCAGATTGATGGCCAAATTGTTGTCACAGTTTAATGGGTATGGCCTGTCTTTGTAGATCTCCAGCTCATCTAGGAATGAACCCATCCATGTGGATTGCCTGCCCCCGTGTACTGTAGCAACGTACTCTGCCTCAGACGTAGAGAGAGCAACTCGCTTTTGGGACCTCGAGCTCCATGATACAGGACCACCTGCCATGGTAAACACATATCCCATCGTGGACTTCCCAGTGGTTCTGTCATCTCCATGTGATGAGTCGACATATCCAATTGGCGTTAGTCCATCATCTTCATCGGTGCCACGTTGATAGGTAATTCAGTATTCAAGGGTGCCTTTAAGGTATCCTAAGACATGCATTGCTCTGTTCCAATGGATAGGTCGTGGATCAGATGCGTAGCACTGAAGGTAGTTCGTTGCAAATGCAATATCTGGTCTCGTACCATTAGATATGTGGTTTAACAATCCTAAGACAGCGCAATAGTCTTTGTCGGCCATAAACTCTTTGTCTTCTGCAGGGATAGGATGTGGTTGTGTTTCGAGATTCATCAGGCTTCCAACTGGTAGTGGAGTCGACTTCGGTTTACATTCTGCCATGCCAAACACCTCGAGGGTCTTGAGAATCAGATTTTTCTGATGAAGAGAGATAGCCCCATTAGAGTCATCAAATTCGATGGTCATTCCAAGGATGCTGTTGTGACAGCCTAGGTCTTTGATCTCGTAAATGCTTCCTATCTCCTTTTGGACTTGTACACCCTCTTCATGAGACGTCGAAGCTCCTGACATGTTGTCTGTGTATGTGCACGTATACGTCTTCTGCCCTTCTCTCTTGAGTAGCCACACGCATGGATCTGCTTGGGACTGTCTGTGTCCTTGACTCGTCAGCATCTGATTGAGCTCATGGAACCATGCATTCCCCGCATCCATAGTTCCATACATAGCTCTTAGCATCTGCAAGACGTATTCTGGCCCTTTCAGATAATCACAAGTGACGACATCTTCATATCCCTTTGGAAGTGCAACGTAGTTCTCCCCTTGCGGCTCCGCATTAAGGTATGCACTGACAAAGTTGATAAGCCAGAATTCAAGTCCATGGGCAGCAACGATTGCGAAGAACATTCATATGGATTTGTATCGGACAACAGCAGCGAATGAGTCATAATAGTGGATTCCTTTAATCTGAGTGAAGCCTTTCACAACCAGCTGTGCTCGACATTTGAGTAAATCCCTGGTATATCCATCAATTTTGTTGTCGAATACCCATCAATTATCGATGACTTTCATCCATGGCTCGCAGGGTACAACTCACCAAACATCTCGTTCTTCCATATGGTGTATTTCTGCATCCATCGCTGGTGTCCAGATATTTGGCTTGGTCAGGGCCTGCTCATAGTTATCTGGCACCCACATATCTTTCCTGTCAATGATGCTTGATATTTCTGAAGCTTTCATCACAATAATATCTTCTATATCGTCTTCATCCTTGACTAATGGGACATCCCCATCATGTGCTCAATTCCTTCCATGGGCACGAGCATTTTCTTCCTGTTTTAGGTATTCAGTTGATTCTATTATCACTCGTGTTGGCTTTGGTATGCATGTTGGGCGGTCTGGGCAGTCATGCACTGGAATTTGTCATGGTGGCGGGTCTGCGTTTTGGGTTCGAATTGGATTTTGATTTACTCAAATTGGAATTCTTGATCGATCTCGCAAATCAGGGCGTTGTTCTTTGATCGGATTTTCAATTGGTGCTGTTTCTTCAATCGTCTGGAGCAATGGTTCATTGTTCTCCCCCTCGTGAGAAGAAACAGTACATGTCGGAGCCAACTCCTCAAATATGACATCATGGGAAATGATGATCTTATTCCCAGGGACGTCATCAAGTACAATTCGGTATGATCCGTGGCCCGCAAGTCTGATGAATCAGCCCTTCTGACCTCTGGGACTCAGTTTGCTATGTCCCTTAGCCGCAGGTATCTTGGCATAGCATGTTGACCCCCATACCCATAAGTGGCCAACCGTTTGTTTCTTTCCACTCCAGACCTCCTCAGGCACTTTCCCCAGATGCTGAGAAGTTGGTAGCAGATTTGCCACCTTAACAGCATAGTCGCATGCCTCGGCCCACCAACCATATGCCATTTTTGCTTCGAGTAGAAGAATCTGGACTGATCCAAATATCACCCCAAAAGTCCGTTCCACAACCCCGTTTGCTGCTGATGAATATGGCGCCATGAATTCAATCAAGACTCCCCATTTTGTCGCCCATGTTTGCCACAAGCCGCAATCAAACTCGTTGTCACACCACAGCTTCTTCAATTTCTTCCCTGTCTGCCTTTCTGCCATGCTCGCAAATTGTTCTAGCATCTCTACGGTTGTCTCCGCTCTCTGATCAGACAGATAGTATGGTGAACGTCATGAGGATGCATCATTGACAAAGATCATGGCGTACCGTGAGCCACCAATAGACTTTGAACGTGCAGGGCCCCAGATATCAAGCATGACTCTCCCAAGTACTTCGGTTTCAGGCTCAACACTAGCATCAAATGGCTGTCTTTTCTGATTCCCAAGGATACATGGCTCGCATTTGCCTGGCACCTGCTGCTCGTGCTTTATGTTCAGCCCATCGACAAGAGCTCCTTTGGATAAGGCTTTGATTCGGTCAACACCAAAGTGAGCAAACCGCATGTGCCATGTTTCAATCAGGACTGAATGTTCTAGAGACCTTGCTGCCAACGCAGTGTACTCATCACCACGCATTAGTTCGCAGTCAATTTTGTATAGATCATTGAACATTGAGGCAGTAAATTGGGCCTTGCCACCTGGGTCTACAAAATCAGCCTTCCCCCCACCGAATGTTACTTTCCATCCTTCCTTGTCAAGGCGGCTTATTGACAGCAGGTTTGCAGACACATCCAGACAGTGCAAAGTTTTGCTGAAGGTGACAATTTTCTTGGTTCCTCCACTCATCGATTTTATAGCAACGGTTCCAGTCCCAAGCACTTTCAGTGCCATGCCAACTTTCGACAAAGTTCCAGATGTTTCAAGCAGGGTATAGTTGAAAAAGTGAGCTCTGTTTTGCACAAAGTGAGTCAAAGCTCCTGAGTCACCATACATCCATGATGTGTCTAGCATGGGATCATGACTATTAACAACCCAGGCCGTATCCTCAACCACATCCTGGTTCACTTCCTCCAACACTTTGTTCTCGATGTATGCATTCAATGCGATGACATTGGTTGTGATCGAGCCAGAATCAGGCTGACTAGCAGTCGCAAGATTAGCCGCTCTGCCCAGAAGTGGGGTGTCCCATTTTCCTTTCCACCAAGGAGGGTATTGCCCCTGACGTCCTCCCCCTAACTTCCAACATTCTTCAAGGGTGTGACCAACACCCTTGCAGTTGTCGTTGGCTGGGTGAGACTTATCCAAACGGTTTGTGTTGTTGTTCTTCTTGACAGTGAGGTTCTGTACTTAGAGAGTAAGTGCTTGGACCAATGCTTGTAATGCTTGGACTGAGTCCCCCTGTGTAGAGGTGCTTCCGCCCGCGGCCTTCCATCCTACAACTCGTTCGCCATGGGCAATGAGATGGGCTGTTATCACCGTCAGGCTCTTCTTGGCGTAAAGGGTACTGACGATGGAGTCCCAGGATTCAGGGAATGAGTTGAGAAGGGTGGTCTTGAACTGGTCGTCATTTATATTTGCACCAGCATCGTTAGCTTCCTTCCTGAGTTTCCTCATCTT